CAGCTAAATTTAATTAAATATTGCATAAACCATGAAAGCGAAAATAAAGGTCTTATATCTTTAAAAACTAAGTCAAATGCTTTGACAAAATTTGATAAAGGCAAGTCACTAGAAAACATTGTTGAAATAGGCAAAGATAAAGAGAGATTTTTAAAACTGGAGAAAATCATAAAATGCAGAATTCTGGTTCTCAAACTTTAGCATAGGGGCCTTGTGAAAACACAGAATCCTGAGCCTTGTCCTCCATAGTTTCTCATTCAGTAAATATGGAGTGAAACCAAAGCATATGCATACTAAGAAATTCCCATGTGATGCTGATGCTGCTAGGTTGAGAATCATACTGTGAGAACCACTGCTTTGCAATTACCTAAATTTTTAATCTATATTAAAGAAATACAACAGCATAAACTAGATATGATTTGTTATAGATATAGATTTATGTAAGATTTGGTGTTCCAATCAGCAAACCTGTACTGCAAGGAAAGGTCCTTGGACATTTTTTAAGTTAAAATGTTAATGAGATGTATGCATCTTTGTTATGACCTACTGTCTCAACTGACTTTTTCAATTAATGGCCAAATGATGAGAACGAATCTCATCAGAAGAGATCCTCTGTCAAATATGGACCATAAAAGTACCACTGAAATTTGAAAGTCCCTTCACCTCCACCATTTGCAAGGAGGAAACTCTGCAATTGCCTCCTTGATTACAAGACTTTCCCAAAACACAAGCTCACAATATCAATGAAGCCTTTAAAATAAGTTACAAGGTTAAGTCTCACTATCTTTAATCTACAGATGAGATTTCTAACTCAGAGAGCATAAGAAACATCAAAAGGTAAGTCAACCAACAAGTGGCAGAGTTAAGACCCAAATACAGATCTCCAAATACAGTGTTTTTCTTTCTTTTTTTTCCAACCAATCAATACTGCAGTATAATCTTTAGAAGAGGCAAAGACAGGTTAGAATCAATATAAAGGTCTGCAAAACAGAAAATGACCAAAGTTATAAAGCTGTGAGAACTACATGATTATAAGCATTATATCTGTCATTTTGGACATAAACATAAACATCATCCATAAACTAAAGCTATTATTAAATGGCTAGATAGGATCATCAAATATAAGACACTGGAGGCAGCTAAGCTACCAGGATTGAAGCAAAGTTTTTGGCAACACAACCCCACTTGAGCAAGAAACCTGTGAGAAATGGATGATAGAGTCACACACAGATGTAGCAGAGTTAAGCGGAAAGCAGACAACCATGTTCAGAGAGAGGAGAAGAGGCACATTAGGTTAACACTGAAGCAATGCATCCAAAGATGCACCACTTATGGACTGCTTAGAAACAGAGGAGGCAAGGCATCCCAGTGATGGCAATCACTATTAAGATGATGCCATTAAAGCAAGTTTATCCTTTTAGAAACCAGAGGCAGACAAAACAGTACATTATCTGTCTTATAAGGTAATGATGTGTTCGTGTAGCATCTTACAAATTCCAGAAGAGAACCATATCTGTTAAACTGAATGCAAATGTTCAGTTTTATATATTCATTCTAATATTTTTAGAAAACTGGCCCTAACCTGTGGTTTAGTGTTTGAGACCAGGAAACAGTGTGAAGATTTGCAAAAATTATAGGAAACTTTCTAAAATAACTATTCTGTTTCTTTAGAATAATATAAGGAAAATAAAGACTAATATGTTAACATTAAGATAAGAATCTAGAAATGGTCTGGATGGCCACAAAAAAAAAATTAGAAGATACCAAACATGAGGATATGAAGAAATTGTAACCCTTATACGCTGTTGGGGGGGGGAGTGTAAAAGGATGCAGATACTATGTATTTTTTTACCATATTTTAATAATCTATTGAGAAATAGTTGGCAGTATAATAAAACTAAACTCTTAAGAAGATCCACGAACTGATATATCCAATAGGTAACATTTCTCTTCCAAGACTACATGAATACATTATTTAACATGGAAATTCATATTATATCCTCTAATCTATATTTGAGCTCTGAAGTATCTTTTATTCTGATTCCTGCCTTCTTTTGTATTAAATTGGTATTTTCTATACTACCTTTTTTATTCCCATGTTGTTTCTTTTACTACAATTTTTTGAGTTATTTTCTTTGAGATTGCTCTGGGGATTGCAATTAGTATTTTAACTTAAAACATTCTGGTCTGGATTAATACAAATTTAATTTCAATAATATATAAACATCTTCCTTTAATATACTTCTCCTTCCTTGTCATATTTTTGTCATAACAAATTACATCTTTATATATTATAGCCCATCAACATAATTTTATAATCATTGCTTTGTTCAATTGTATTTTGGAGTAAAAAATATACAAATAAAAATGCATTTACTTGTATGTTTATACCTTTCCCTTTACTTCTTCATGCAGATTAGAATTTACTATCTACAGTACTTTTATTCATATTTCAAGGACTCCTTTTATTACTTCTTATACAGCAGGTCTGTTAGTGACAAATTCTTTCAGTTTTTGTTTATTTGGAAATATCTTAATTTTGCCTTCATTTTTGAAAAAGAGTTTAGCTAGACAGAATTCCTGCTTGATAGTCTTTTTCTTTCAACACTGAAAATGTCTTCTAGCCTCCAGGGTTTCAGATAAGAAGTCAGCTATTAATCAACAAGTCATTTTTCTCTTGCTGCTTTCAAGATTTTTCTCTAAATTCAACTATGATATGTCTAGGTGTCGATCACCTTGTGTTTATTCTACTTTGGTTATGATGAGCTTCTTGAATATGCAGATTAATATCTTTCAACAAGTCTGGGACATTTTCTGCCATTATTTTTTAAAATATTACTTTGCCTCTTCTCCTTCTGGGACTCCTATAATGCCTATGTTGGTACATTTGATGGAGTCCCATAGGTCTCTTGAGGCTCTGTTCATTCTTTTTTCCTTCTTTCTGCTCCTCATATTGAATAATCTCCATTAACCCATCTTCAAGTTGACTAATTATTTCATCTACCAAATTATATCAGTTGTTGAGTCTCTCTAGTGAATTTTTCATTTCAGTTATCATACTTTCAAACTCCAAAATTTCTATGTGGTTCTTTTTTTATAGTTTTTATCTTTATTGATATTCTCTCTTTGATAAAACATCAGTCTCATGGTTTCCTTTAATTCTTTACCATGGTTTCACTTAGTTCATTGAATATACTTATAATATTTAACAAAGTCTTTGTCTATTAAGTCCAAAGTCTGGGCTCCCATAGGAACATTTTTTGGCTAGTTTTTTGGTTTTATTTTTTGTTTTCCTGTATATGTGGCATATTTCCTATTTCTTTGCACGTCTTAATTTTTGTTGAAAACTGAACATTTTAGGTAACACATTTTAACAACTCTCATATCAGATTCCTACATACTGACAGAATTTTTAATCAACAGTTTATTGTTATTCTTGATGCTTATTTGTTTACTTTTTGCTTATTTGTTTAACTTTCATGAACTAATTCTAAAGATTCTGTATTCCTTGTATAGTGTGTGGCCACTGAGTTCTCTACGAGTTTTTAAGTTCTTGTTTTTATTTTTAAGCCTGGCTTACTAGGAGTCATATCTGGATCAGTATATTGTAGTGGACAACCAATGATTATTCAGAAGATTTCCTTAAATGCCTTGCCTATACATTTTCTACCCCTTTGCCATAGAGATCTTCCTGAGAAGTCACACCTTCAAACTTCAGGCAGCTTAAGAACAACCCTAGCTTTCACTTCCTGTTTACGTAGAGCCTCAAGATCTGCCAGAGGTGACATTCTACTTTCCCAGGTTATTCCTGGGCATGGGCACAGCCTTGCATATCATGCAGCCTTGTAGATATCCACGAATATGCCAGAGCTTTCCAATGTTCCCTACATTGGCTAGTTCTCCAAGATTTCCTCATAAATTCCTGGCCAAGTTCTTGTTTGCCCCAAATGAAATCATACTCTTAACCAGCTGGCATCTTGCCAAGGGTTTGCTATTGTTTCAGTAATGCCCTGGGGGTAACTTTTTTCTTCCCCCAACAGAGCTGAACTCAGAAGCAAATCAAATAGCCAACTACTCTTTGAGAATAAAGTTTTTCCAGGAGCTGCAAGTTTGGATAAAATATTAACTATTCTCTAGGGATAGTGCCTTCAATGGAGCTCCAAAACTGGTCAGATCTCTCCATTGTCTGCAATGCTGCCAGCTTTTGGCTATACCACAAAGCTGTGAAAAAAGGGAAGATGAGAACAGCCCCAAGTTAAAATTTTACAGACCCTACTGTCTTCCCAAGATTCACTAGTTTTCTCTTGGACAGATAATTTTCAATTCATTCTCTGGCCTGGTTTATTCTCTGACCAGAATTCCAAAATAGCTGATTTTCATTATTTTACCAATATTTTTGTTGTTTTACAAGGAGAGCAAAGTCACTGATCAAGTTCTGAAAAATATTTTAAATCTATCTTAGAGTCTTTTGACAAAAAGGATTTTAACCAAAAAAAAAAAAAAAACTTAATTTGATAAAAATTATACTTATAAATTTTTAGATCACTGAACTTTTATCTCTAATAAAATTTTACTAAAAATCTATATTGTAATGTTTAAATAGGAGAGAAACTGATCTCTGAGAGGGGAGAAAAAATAAACTGCATGAGCAATGCCTTATTGTAATACATCTTTCCAGTTTACTAATATGAGAATGACCAAAAATAAAAGTCATTCCTAGTTTTAGATCCACTTTTAGTCCCAAACAGCCTCTCAAATCTTTTCTGGACAACAGAAACAAGTTCAAGTGAGGAAGAAAGCCTACTACATCTTGTCTTACTTGACTGACCTAGACCAAATCTAATTCAACTCTGACAGTCAGGGATAAAAAAAAAAAAAAGCCATAAAAAACTACAAGTAGGAAGTCAACAGAGAAGAGGAATCAGAGACCTGAACATAGGAGGCAAGCCTATCTCTTGAGATTTCTCTAAAGAGACTCAGTATAGAGAGATCGGGTTTACCTCATATTCCACGCAAGTATAGGCCAATCTCATGAGCTACTGGAAGAGAAAAGAGTAATTCATTACTATTAACTCTCTTCTATGTTAGGGGATATTGGCAAGCCAGGGAAAGACCAAAAGTATCAAAGTAGGCCAAGAGAAATAAAATCTTTTATCAAACCTTCTATTTTCAAGAACATTGTGCTACTTTTGCTTTCACATTCTTGTGTAACAAACCACCTCAAACTTATTGGCTCAAAATAATAACCATTTTATTTGCTCATAATTCTGAAATCTGGGCAAGGCTCAGCTAGGCAGTTCTTCTCATCTTGCTGGTGGTCATTTATAATAACTGCTTTCAGCTGGCAGGTGGGAAGTGTACTCAGCTAGGATAGTAGAATGGCTGGCCTTCTCTCTCCTTGTAATTTCAATGACTCTACTCTCTCCATGTGGCCTCTTTTCCACATGATCTTTCCAGGAGGAAAGTAAGATTTCTTACAGGATGATTCAGTCTCCCAAAAACACAAAAGCAGAAGTTGCCAGGCCTTCTTAAAGCTATTATCCAGACCTGGAACTGCTTTCATGCTGTTTTCTGTTGGTTAAGGCAAGCTACAGGCCCAGCCCAAAATCAAAAGAAAGGGATTGATTTCACAAGGGCATGAATGTGATCAATCTAACATATTACTAAAACCTCACAAAGCCAGTGTTCAGCTGACTTGAATGGAAGCAACCACAAGAAACTATAAAATGCCTAAAGGTAAATGAAAACTAGACAATTACAGTCAAATTTTATTCTCTGTTCCTTCCCACAATGAGGGTCAATCTAGGTTCAGTGAGAATCTTAATTATATGTGAGACTTGATTAATCACTTATAAGCCATATGACCTTGGACAAGTCAATTAATCTAAGCTTCAGCTCCTCAATTGTAAAACAGGGAAAATTATATGTGCCTTGCCTACCTTAGAGGAATGTTGTGTAGAACAAATAAGAGTTTTGAAAATTGTAAACTGCCATACAAATATAAGGAAGTGTTATTTGCCTAACAGGATGCTAAGTATAGTCAACCTAGCTAGGCTCCATTCTACAAAATTATAATCATCATTAATTACCCTATATGCAAAATTACCACCACAGCAATAATATATTCAATAGCAAGCCAAAATTATATTATGTTTTGTTATTAAGAATAATAACATTAACACTAGCTATAATTTATTGTTGTCCAATTATATGTCAGGTACTGCTAGATACTTTTGGCAAACTATAACTAACCCTTATAATAACTCAATAAGGTATGTATTATCCCTCTTTTACAAATAAAAAAACAGACTTGGCTACTTTAATTAACTTGCCCATAGTCACAAATCTTGTAAGTGGAAAATCCATTACTAATGTCTAATGTATAACAGGCACTTGATAAATATCTGTTGTGTAATTTAAAGAATAAAGCCAGGGCTATCTCATTTTAATGCAAGAAGTCTTTCAACTATATAAAAGTATTTCTTTCTCACAATCCTTGTTTTTATAAGCAGCTATTAAAACTATAATCACAGCAAACATATCTAATTAACATGGGCAATTTGTCACCTTTCTCATCCACAAAATGGTTTCCCATCTGAAAAATACCTTTGTTGTTTTAAACATCTAATCTTTAACCTAACTTTGGGTTATAATGGTCATGTTATAATGTGGAGACACAAACTGGAAAAACGAAGCAAAAAAAAAAAAAAAGATACATTTGCATACCAAAAAAAATCACTAAAACAAAAAAACAAATTTTTAATGGCAAAATTATGCATAGTGTGAATGATAAATTTTCATATCCTTATATTATGAAGAGATCTTGAAATGTAAAAGGAGGAAGAGGAAAAGAAACTGTCCAACAGAAAAATAGATTAAAGATATAAATGGCAAATCAACAAAAGAAATATGAAAAGCTAATATATATACTTTTAGAAGTATTTTTGTCATTAGTTATCAAACAAATACAAGTCCAAATGAGATTTTTTAAACTATCTGATTGGCAAAAATCAAAAAAATTATAAAGATTGATCATACTGAGTGTTCAGAGATCAAGCAAAGAAAAGAATCATTAAAACACTATTGTTGGGAGTATGAAATAGTATAATCTTTCTAGAGACAATGTGGTAATTGATAAAAACATTTAAAATGTATACAGCATTTTAACTCAGTAATTCCACCCCTAAGAATTCATATAAAGGAAATAATTGGACAGTTGCACAAAGATGCACATACAATAATTAATCATAATGTCAAAATAGCATACAGGATACTATCTAGATGTCCAAAGAAAACTGTAATTATGATACATTCACATAATATCTTATAAAAAGATATAAAATTTCATTCATTACCATGAAAGGATGTTCAAGATATGAGTATCAAAGTAAAAAAACAATGGCATGACACAATTTTTATAAAAAAGTCCGTGAATTTTTGTGTTTCTAGCAGAAAAGGCAGCACACACACACATGAGCACAAGGATATCCAAGAGCGCCAGAGTCAGCACATATGCACTCAAAGAAAGAAAGCCCAAGAAGATGTGACAGTAATCCTGTGAGCAGATGTGCAGTAATCTCTGAGCAGGTTTTTTTTACTTTCTTCTTTGTACCTTTCTATATTTTCTGAATGCTTTATATAAAAGGACATTTAATTTTTATAAGAATAACAACAATAAAATATTTTTATTTAAAATTATGTCAACCATCATAAGCATGAGGTTCTGTGAACCTTCAAATGCTATTACTTTTAATATAAAATACTGCCGAAGCAGTAGTTGATATGAACACTGAATGAAGATTTACATTTTATTCCTCCTTAAATGGCAAACTCAAAATCATAAAACCTTTATAGTTGTTTCAATTCACATGTATTAGAATTTGTATTTTCTTTAAAAATGTCACTTAAAAAATGAAAGTGAAACAGAAATGTTTAAGTGTTACAAGATACATTTGGCATAACTGTGCTATATTATATATCTCTGAGGAATAACCTGCAAATGGAAGAGCCCACAGACTTTGATTCTATAACTGAAAAAAATCCAGCATCACTTGGTATGTTAACTTGGGAGCTTATTTACTTATGCTTGTTATTTACACAGTATAATGGGAATTCTCAATTAGCCATGGGTAGAACCCATGGTACATGGTACATGGGTAGAAGCCATGGGTACAACCACTCTTGCTTTTGAGTTTAGCCATTGTACTCAGAGTATAAGAAATTTAGTTATTTACTTTGTAAATCTCTCAGCTATTTACTTCGTGTGCCAGGATTCTAGCAAAAGAAATGCTTAAAATAAATTATTCAACTTGGATAGTGGATGAGCAGGCCAGTGGGCAACTACCCTCAGGACTGAGCCTGAATATCATCCAGACATACCACTGCCCTACTTCCCACCAGGGCACTTTGGGGAATGTTTAGGGCCATTTTGGTTGTCACAATGATGGTGGGAAAGAAGTGGTTCTAATGCCATTTTGCCCAGAGAAGCTAAATATACTACAACATGAGGTCCCCACCAAGGACTGTCCCATCTTCAACAATATTGTCCCTGTCAAGACAGGGACCATGATTTTCTTGTTCAATGTTGTATTTTTAGCCTACTACATAGAGGGCATTAAATAAATATTTGTTGAATAAAGTCAAAGTAAGCAATTTATGGCACTGAGTGAGACACTGATAATACAAAAGAAGGAAAAGAAGTGGACAACAGGGAAACTGGATAGTTTTCTACTTGAGTCAGATCTTAGTGGGTAGGCTCCATTATACTTAGGGAAATTCTATAGTAGGACACATCCATACCCAAGATACTTAGAAAAGAATAAAATTCCGTCCCCCAACACAAATTATAAAGGGATTATCTTCCAATATAGATATTCAGGTATATGCTCCCACTACTAGTAAAGATCAACAAATGTGTCACTTCAAGACATTGATTCTAGTGTTCAATGTTACCTTGGGAAACTAGTTAGTAAAACAATGTAGTTTAATGTACAGGCTCTGGAGCAAGACTACTGCATTTGATATGACTTTACCATGCATTACCTGAGTAAATTACTTAACATTTTAAAATGCTATTTACAAGCCTGGCAATTTACTTAGCATCTTCTAGCATCCATCTTGTCATTTAGAAAATGGAGTAATAAAACAAGTTCACAACCCCCTATTCTAAATTTATGAGCCAGATATGTCACACAACTCAGAATTTTTTTTGGATTTTAGAAAGTAATACCATATATATATATATATGTAACATCCCAGGTGAATCTAGCACAGCAACCCATATTCATATGTATTAATGATTCTGTCACCAACATAAAAAAAGTTCCAAGTGTGAGATAAAGACCCTTAAGTAGGCTCATCTCACTTAATTCAGGTTTTGGAGTCAAATTAGCTTGCCACAAACTTAGGGAACCCTGGGGTGGTGGCTCACACCTGTAATCCTAGCACTCTGGGAAGCTGAGGCCAGAGAATCACTTGAGGCCAGGAGTTTGAGACCAGCCTGAGCAAGAGCGAGACCCTATACCAAAAATACAAAAATTAGCAGGGCTTGGTGGCATGTACCTGTATTCCCAGCTACTGAGGAGGATGAGGCAGGAGGATCGCTTCAGCCCAAGAGTTTGAGGTTGCTGTGAGCTAGGCTGACCCCATGCCACTGTAGCCCAGGCAACAGAGTAAGACTCTGTCTCAAGAAAAAAAAAAAAAAGAAAGAAAGAAAACAAACTTAGGGAAATTGGTATTTTTAGATTCTTTTCAATTTCAAAAGTAATTATAAGGGTACCTACTTCCCTCAGAGAGATAATATAAAAATTGAGTTTATATAAAGTACCTACCCCAGTGACTGTCACAGTTAGTATTTATTAGTTATCATTATGAAATGTTAGCTAGTTACAAGACTATGCAAGATAGCTAATAGAGTCAATAGACTTGTAGCTATAAGCAGGAGGGGGTAGGGGTAAGAGTGAGTAGTGGTCAGAAGAGAACCTAAGACAATTGTGCTAATCAAAATAAAACAAAATTAAAGTTGACTGACCACAAAGTAACTGCAAGAAAATAACACATCTGCCACACCGAAGATAAGTAAACATTTCCTTCCTTTTGATAAAAGGGAGCTTCTACAGGAGTTAATATCTGAAGACATTTAATATTTTCTATTTCACATGTAGTTTCCTATTTACAACTCTATATAGCTTTCTTTCTAAAAATGCATCAAGCTTTTGAAGTTTTTTGAGCAAGGTGGAACCAAAACTGGTTTCTCCCTAAGGTAATAAGGTAATCAAGCTTTTGTTACCTACAGCAGAATACAACAAAATTTGGACAATTAAATAGTAAATACAAAAAGCACACTTAACACTCTTTCCCTTTGGAAATAATTGCAGTTAAATTTGCTACTATAGCCCCTCCCTGTTCTATTGGTTTTCGTAATCCAAACTTCTGGAGAAACTTTTAGAGTTATATGGGGAATGAAGGAAATTATCATTTCTTAAGCACTATTCTATGCCAGGCCTTGAATTATGTACTTTGCATAAATTCCTTATTTAATTTTCACAAGTCTTCAAGGGAATAGTTATTGTACTCATATTACACAAGGATATTACATTATTAAGTGAATGAATCAGGATTCAAACTCAAGTTTGACTGACCTGAAAACCCATGTGCTGCTTATACTAGGCCACTTTGCCAAAGGATACTACCTCATTCTCATATTCTTGACTAATTTTTGGCTCCCTTTGTATTTTTTATCAAGAATTTTTAATGTGTACATAATAATATGGAATTTATATTATCTCTCAGAATAAATTTTAGATCTTTCTATAATTCCAAATTTGAAATGCACTTGTAATTTTTATCTTAGTTTATCTCTGAAAAAAATAATTTTAAAATGTCTATGAGTTACATCTGTCATCTTTAGCTATAAGAGCTTATTCATCAATATGTAGCATTACATTTCTAAGCAATGAGCAGCACCATATAATCAAAGAACTTTAGGCCTGGTAGAGATTTTGAGAACAATAAAGATATTATTTAGATAAATAACTAACTATTCTGGTCTTAAAGATTTTTGAGGGGTATGACCTACCAAATGCCAGTCTATAACCATAACCAACTCCAGAGTTTAATAACTTTTAGAGATGGTCTTCTTTTAAGACAAATCAAAATCACCCTTTCCATAAACTTTCAAGGTATTAATTTAAGATTTTCTTTAACATTTCTGTCATCCTGCTTTATTAATTTTAGCTGAAAGTTTGTAACAAAGAATAAAGAGAAATAAAAATAAATTTGAAAACAGTCCTAGACCAAATAAATAGGTTCCGTGGCTTGAATCTTGCTCATTCCTGTCAATATCATTTTTGCTAACCTTTTCAGTGCCTCTCCAATTGTTCTATGCTCAGAAAGAACTATAGAGAAAATAATTGGACTTTATTAGTTCAGAGTGTTTAGTTTAGCACTTTAAGAGCTCAATGAACAAGTTTAAGAAAAATAGTAATTGCCAGCTGTTGGATATTAAACTCCAGAGTCATGCTCATTTCTAAAAATACATTATTGACACATATCCAATTTATAGAATGCTATGATTTGAGTCTAAACAATAACTTTTATCTTGAACTGGTGTGATTAACTTTTAACCTTTATTAAATGTTTTTGATGGAACACTGATAGGATTTATTTTCTATTAGCAGATAAGTAATTTGATAGATTATTACATTCAATAAGGCTTAGGATTATGAAATTCAAGCAGTATTTTAAGTTGCATAAAAAATGATGCTTACTAATGTCATTTTATGCACAAGACATGATATGTTTAACATGAACAGTATATAATTCTTATAATTTTTTACATTTACATTTTTAAAACTATACTACTCTCATAAGACCAATTTTCATCAGCCCTGATAAAAAGCTAGTAATGGGTGTATCCTGTATACTGTATTAAGTCGATAAATACTAGTTGAAGATAAGCAAAGTAAAGGAAAATGCCAAGAGTCAAATATTATAATTCTTGTTTCTGGATCCATAATGCCATTATAACAAGAAGCATATAACCTTGATTGTCACTACTAGCAAATACAAGGACGGTATAGTTGACTACTTTATAGTCCTTGTACTTGGAAAGCAGTATAGAGTAACGGCTTTCAAACTTTGTCTCCAAATAACATAGTACTTAGGGTCCCAATGAAAAAAAGAGGCAAAAATGGACCCGCTCTGTTTCTAATCATTCCCCCAAAGGTGGTGCCTGAAGAATTTCTTTGATTAGAAAACATAATTTGATAATTACTAATATAATGGATAAGAACAATAGAGTAAGAGTCACCAGAGCTGGGTCTACATGTTAGATATTCCACCTGTGTAGCCTCAGAGGTATTTTTAACCTCTCAGTTTCCCCATCCACAATATGGAAAGAATTCCTTAACCATATAACTGACCTGTTGGGAAAAGTTAAATATGATGCCACAAAAGAACTCTGTAGAGCATGATCTATGTAAATATAATATTTAATTACTGTACTATATGCTATATAATATGTAAAAACAAATGTTTCCTTCCCTACTTATCTCCTCCCCAAGATACTTCCTTATTTTTCATATACAACAAAGAAGTTTAATACTATCAAAATGAAAAAAAAAGTTCCAAAAATTAGATTGAAAGGAAACAAGTGGGAAGGAGAGACACATATAAAATTTCTCTTTATTGCTCCTCTCAGAATAATATAAAGTAAGCTCATCTCCTACTATTTTCCCAAGAGTAGGATTCCACCAACACATCTATTGGTTAATCTCCTTTAAACTATTTTTAGTGAACATATTTGTAAACACGTCTAATAGAATTTATGCTGTGGAAACCCTTTTCTCCAGATGCATGTAAGATTTCACAAGTATTAGGTATGATATCAATGTCCATCATCAGATGCCCTCAACATGAAAAATGAGTGATAAGTGAAAAGAACGTCAGATTGGTTTGTTTGATACAGACAACTCAAATGGTTTGACAAATATAATAAAGTTGTAGTATTTCCTGGGGAAACTATTTGAAAGAGTTGGTATAACTTTACCTTAACTATACTATTTAAATCTCTTTAAATATACTATCTGTGATAAAGCTTATTTTATAGCTCTTAAATTATATTTCCTATACATAAATACATAGTTATTTGCTATAAATCATGCTATGAAGGACTTAAACAAAAAACTATCCATTTTATCTTGCTTGTAACCTTATATTCATAAAATTTGGAAAACATATAGGGGAATTTTTGGTGTACCTTGTGCAGAACATTCACAGAACCAAAAGTTTGAAATGGAGGACATAGCTTCACCTTACTTAAGCTTTGTCTTAAGCTTTGTCTCCTAACTAGCAAATTGTGTGTTTATCTTCCCATTAAAGCAGATGACTTTCCTCAATGGTAACAGCTACTTAAACAGAAAGAGTCCATACATCAAATTGAAGTAAGGTGCAACTTATTCCCTGTAAAGGCAGATGGATTCTACTTCATCATCACATCTTTGGTTGAAACCATATTTTAAAAGTTTTAGAAGTAAGAAATGAAAATGTAGTTTTTAAAGATAAATTATTAACACTTTTTAAAAAATTTACTAGATTATATATGCTTACAAAAAGTAAACCACATGATTATCTTAAAATAATACTGATTCTAATCATATAGCTTTCATTTTTTAAAAATTAAGAAATGTTAAAATAGCAATCTTTCATCATCCTGAATGGGCTGGCAACTGCATTTCAACTACTTAGAAAGGAAAGGAAGTAATCTGGGTGTAAATGTTATCTCAAACACCAATTATGAACAGCTTACATGTACTCACAGACACTATGCCTATCCCTCTGATGCCCTTTACCCACCCACTCACACCCCAATCCCTGCTCTTTTTTACCTTTCTGAATGTCAATGGAAGACCTCTCTTTTAAGTGCTCTTTGTAGTAGAAGCAGAAGTTCACACAACCAAACTGCTGCATCTTCCTATATAACCAAACCATTATTGAGTAGGAGAATTATGACATCAGCAGTATGTTAGCCAATTACTCTAACAAATAGTTAATCTCCACTGATACACATGCTATCATGTCATTGGCTGAATTTCAGAAAGTCTACCACTATTATTTTTCTACCTTTAATTAGGACTTACTCTGATACAGGTTTGAGGTTTGGTAGTTTCTGAAACCACTACGGAAATGCATGTGCCATACACATTTATTTGACTGCCATTTTAGAATGCCAAACCCGGACAATTTGCAGACCAACACATGGGTATCAATGAGAAAAAGACTAACCTAGGCGTCTCATATTTGTGCTCTCATTAAAACACCCTGAGTAGTGCCTGAAAATTTTATATTATAGGTGCTCCAATGCTCTTTCACTGTTTCCCTATAAACTCTGTGTGCTAGCTATTACTCATAAATACAGCATGCTTTTAATCCTACCTGGGGCAGATTTGGTGGGGGGTGGGAGCCATTAGTAGATGGAAAGGAAGAATTCTCTTGTGGTTTCTATACCACCACAGAAAGCTAGGCTAACTGAAAGCATTTAAAAATATGAACTATAACCACATAACAATGTAAAGAATAGTCAAACATTGTTTTCTCTAAACATATACAGTAATGAAAGAAAACAAAGTTCCTTACCATACTAACTATTGCCCACCACAAAAAAGGGAAAAATCTGTCTCAAAATCTTATGCATAAAAAATACTATTGAAAAAATTCAGACATGAGATCCCATATATGGCATGTTAAAAATATTCTGTTTTATGTACTTATAGTTCATAATTTATAGAGAATGTGATTAAATTACCTCATATTCTTTCCATAAGCCAAACTCAATGTATTCTCTACCATAAAATGCCAGAATGACCAAGTATCCTAAAATATTAAAAGCAAGAACAATTAGGTTAATATTAAAAATGAATTCTTTGATATCTAAAAGCTGTGATTATTTTAAATTATTTTTGAATAAATATTAATTACCATAATTATTTTTTCTTTGCATGAATTTATCTAGATTTTTTAATATTTCTTATTTAGCCAAAAAAGACATTATTTTGATTTTACATGAAATTTTTTATTTTTCAAAGAACAGAAATCAAAAAATAATCATACTATTCTAATAATCAGAAAAAATTAAGTGAGGGAGAATAATGAGAAAAGGATTCTTTGAAAGAATATATACTTTTAAATTGTGAAGCGAGAGCAAACAATTCTGGAAATCAGCCTGCTAATTTCTTATATTTAGAGAAGCAAAAGTAAGAATGGATTAGCAACTGGCATACATATGCTCATTCCTTAAAAATAATTACTTTTTAGGAAAATTTAAAAAAGAGATCTTTTATTTAGGGAGAACAATAGGCAAGGTTATTTTAAAACTAATGATCTTTGTTGTTAATAAAGTAAATTTAGGGTAGCAATAATATAAAACATACACTTATGTGTTATTTGTTTATATATGTTCATACCTTTTTTTGCCCTAAATTTGGTCCATGATATCAGAGATCAACTTAGTACAGAATATATCTGATCATTTAGTCAACTATAACACCATCATAGCTGCCTGTCATGATTTAGTTTTGTTTTCTTTTTTTCTTTAAAGGTAAAGGTGATATTAAGTGACAGTTGCCATAAATTTTTATATTGGTCCATTAAACTAAGAAAAATAACAAAGCAAACAGGCACAGCTGAGTAAATATGAACAGGCAACAGTCTAAGTACACATATTTGGGGTTACTTGAAGAAGACAAGACAAGGATCACTAAAATAATCACAGGTGTTTTCTGTGTATTTAAGCAATTACAAGTCAGATGCAGCAAAAATGCAATAATCTACACTAATTAACACACTGGAGTTCTCAAAAAACCTTGGCAATTTTATCCCTATTATCAGATTTTCCTGTTGCTTTATTTTAGTCATTAAGAAATGTAGTATATTTTCTGAAATGAGGTATTATTGTACACATGTATTATCAGAAACTAAGCAACTAAATAATATGTCAAAAGAAATTTGAGCACCATGATTACGAGTTAGACATATTCCCAATTAAATGATTATAAGATAATTTGACTTATTCCTTTAATTCTAATCCTTTTCTCCAACTACCCTTGTAGTTAAAAATTCAGGCTATTTGACAGTTATCTGTGGTCCTTTACTGCTCTCCAAATGGTTAAAAATAAAACCTCCTCTTTGAACATATCCTTCACTATTCCCCACCTCATTTTGAGCAAATACCACAATTACTCAGGATCTTGCCACTTTTAAATTATTCCAACTTCCAGAGCTACATCAGTTTACTAGTGATACAAATTTGTCTTGGCCACTCATCATTTTAACCTTAAAACCCAATTCATTTCTTAAAAACTCACTCTTGTATATTATTCAATTATTCATTTAACCACTTCTGTATGAGCGTTGACTATAGTCAACAGCCACAGATGAATGCATATAGCCGAGCATCAACTTTAGCCGTGATATGAAGGTGCACAGCTGAGCATCAACTTGAGCGTTAATAACAAAACTTCTACAACGGTACTCCGAATGGAAGCAATACAACCCCTGTATTGCATCAGAAAATCTCATGCATTTTAGAGAAAGACATTTTCCAGCACCTTACAATAGTGATAAAACAAAAAGGAAAAATCCATTAAGAAGATGTATTGTATGCTCAAAAAATAATAAAAGGAGTATTACTAGATACTATTGTAAACAATGTCATGTTGGCCTATGTGTGGCCCCATGCTTCGAAATTTATCATACCAAAGAATAAAGTTTATCATAATATTCAAAAACTTGCCTTATTTTTTTATGATATGAATGAAATAAAACTATAATTTTGAATTGACTTTTCTAATTTTTCATTTATCAAAATAAAATTGTGAACATTTAAAAATAACGTAATAAAAACATATATGTATATGTTACCTATTCTGATTTACATTACAAGTAAAGCTGCCTGTAAAGTAAAACAAGCTTTCAGTGCTTTAAAGCTTTCCTCATCACACATAAGCAAAACAGATTCATCATCAATGCACAGCACAAACTATTGTGTGGACTATGAGTGCCGGCTGTGGCCAAGGTTTCGCCGCCAGTGAGCGCTGTACAGAAGTGGTTAAGAAAGACCTTGGCCAAGCATGGTGGCTCACCCCTGTAATCCCAGCATTCTGGGAGACTGAGGCAGGTGGATTGTTCAAGGTCAGGAGTTTGAGACCAGCCTGAGCAAGAGTGAGACCCCGTCTCTACTAAACATAGAAAGAAATTAATTGGCCAACTAAAAATATACAGAAAAAAATTAGCCGGGCATGGTGGCAAATGCCTGTAGTCCCAGCTACTCGGGAGGCTGAGGCAGAAGGATAGCTTAAGCCCTGGAGTTTGAGGTTGCTGTGAGCTAGGCTGATGCCCTGGCTCTCTAGCCCAGGCAACAGAGTGAGACTCTGTCTCAAAAAAAAAAAAAAAAATGACAGCTATGTTGGGTACAACATGTACCCAAATTAAATGTACATGGTCCCACATACAAATAGCTCACAGATGACCATGCCACTCACAGCAAGATACCATCTCCCTAACATCCAAAGTTAGTCTACAGAGCCCTATTTTCATTGTTTCTTTCTATATTTCACAATGACTTTCTTTTCATCTCTGGCAAAACTATTTATATCTCACCCTTCAACATTTATTGAATTATTACTATATGCTTGGCAATGTGCTACAAGGTGATTAGGTGCTAGAGAATACAAGGATACAACAGTGAGCAAAACATGGCTATTTTGCGGTCATGTCCCTTTCCACCCACTCCCAAATACTGTCCTTTTCCCATGGCTCTATAATTCTCCTGGAACCCAGTGATCTTTCATCATTTTTACTCTCATTTTCTCATACCCTACACTACCCTGAGACACAGGAAGAGGGACCACTGTCATGGACTTTAGAGAGCCTGCTTTGGCCCTCAAGTCAGGTACTACCCCATGAGGCAAGGACTCTACACAGCCCTGGGCCATGCTTTCTTACTCCTTTAGGGTCTACCTCAGGAGATCCTCAGGACCTGGATATTCCACGCACAGATGGAGATTTAGGCATACTTACCTCTAGGCCCAACCGGTAAACAAGAGATAATCTTGCAAGGGGTGGGGCAAGATTGCTTGGGGGATGAGCATGTGGGCTTGCTATGGCAAAGAGCCTAGCATATGGGAAAAAGGAGATAGACTATAGGACAAGGACCAGATGACAGAGGGTCAGTTCTCCCTTTGCCACACTATGTTCTAGAACAGAACTACTACAAAATCTGAGAATTCTAAATGGTCATTCACCTAATGAGATGTATTGGTCAAATTAGGAGGTTAGAACATGTTTTATTTAACAGTTTCTTCACTTATATGCACCATTAAGGTATATAGAAATATAATGAGTGAGATTCTGTTTGTAAATTCTTGCTCCCACTGGTATTAAAGATGGGTCTGATTCTCACATCCTATTTCCACTGATGGTTCCCCAGCCTTCATTGTAACCAACCAAATATTATAATAGTAGTAGCCTCAATAGAAGTAAAAGTAGTAAATGTAGTGTTCATAATACCTCCTCGGGGGTGCTATCATGGTAGGCTAGTTAGGCTCTTTTATACCCTTGGTAATATTTACAACCCCACTGGCTAGTTGTTATCTACATCTTATCCATGAATTTAAAGTAACAGATTAGCAGAAGTAGTATTCCAACCAACGTCTTTCTGAATTAAAAGCCCAAATTCTTTACCTTATGCTTCCTTTCAGATGACTGAGAGAGATTTACTTGATTTCAGACTTACTCTCTGTTAATATATCCTACACATATATGCCAGATTCATCTCCCCAAAGGACCACTTTCATCTTCACATCTCACCCACTTTTAAAAACATATACTTGCTGGTTATGATATAAACAGTTAAGTTCCAAATCCTAATTATTTTTCCTTTCCACTCCATCTGCTTCGTCATTTCCCAACAAACTCTTCAAATTCTTTACACCAAAATCATACTTGCTTCCACCCCCATCACATGCTTACCCTCTTCCTCACAGCAAACACACCTCCAAAACAACATTTAAGATCCACCTCATGCCTTACCTCTTCTCTGAAGGTTTCCCTAACCACTCAAGCCCATAATCTTTATTATTCTATTTTTCTACATCCCCATAACACTGATAGCCTCTAATTAGTAATTAACAGGCATACTTAACATGGTAAGAACTCCCAAAGATATCACACCCCTTTTGACTTCAAATGACTATACTGAGTTAATCTTGTCAGAAGGCACTATAGGAAAGACTGGTAAAGTGGCTCTAGAGACAGAGTAGCTGGCTGAAAATCCTGCCTCAATCATATATTTGCATAGACTTTGGTGTTAAATTTGCACAGTACAGTAATATGCAGCACTTCTTTTATGATAAGCATAGTTTCAGTTCTGGAACCCATTTAGATCTTGAATTTTTTGACAATTCAAAAGAACTTTTGTTCACATGTGTTGCACCCAGTTGTGCACTGGTAAATGTTTAATAACCAACTCTTCCCCTTCCCCTCCCCATCAAAAAAAAAAAAAGCCAGATTTATAGTTTCTGTTCATTTCCATAGTGTAAATACTCCCAGCATGGCTAGCTTAAAAGCTAGCAATGTGACATCTTGAATGCAGAGTTAAGAAGAGATGAGCAACATTGACTCTCTCAAGCTGTAAGAATAGGCTTCAGTGTATCATTAGTTGCATCTATCCATATTCATCTTATTAAAAAATAAAATGGATAAATATAATAAATATTTACTTATTTTAAATGACAATAAAACCATTCCACATTAACATAAAAAATGTATGAAATATAGCCAAATTTTCCAAAACAAAAGATTTGATGAGAAGAGTGGAATTATTTTGCATTTTTATACATTTCTTTAAAATCTTGCTTAATAGAAGACAGTTCAATTCTCACATCTACTTCTGCACACAATCTGCTGTTTTGGTTGAAGTATAGGAAGAAAATGCAGCTACATCCTGAAAGGTAGTTGAAAAAGGGAGAACTTCCTGGGGCTGAGGAGTCTTCCACTTGTACTTTGAGAAGAATTTATATACAATGTACTTCTGCATAAAAGACTTTGGTGTGAAGAGACCTTACCAACAGTGAGAGTCTGGAGTAGTTTGGTAGTTTAATTAGGTTTTCTCATCTAGTAATTATCTCAATTTGAAGAATTCTAAATTTAGACTACTCTGAAAAGAAAGTCCATGCTATTTCAAATGTGTATATTTACATATATAGGTATATGAATGTATATACATACATACATGTATGTATACATGTATATACATATACATATGTATATACATACATGCATGTATGTATACATGTATATACATATACATATGTATATACATACATGCATGCATACATGCTATATTGCCTCCAAATCAATCACTCAAAGTGCTAAGAATATCAAAGAAAGAAAGATAACTACAAAGTAAGAACTTGCCCATTTTTAGGAGAAAAAATTCTATGCAGCAAGAAAATTTATGAAGCTAATGTATGAATCTTCACTGAGCTGAACATAATATTCAATTAAGCATAAAAGGTACAATTATGTTCTACATTTTTACAAGTGGACAATTATACCATACATGATAAGTCATAGTTACATATTCATTGATGTCCAAAAAATGACTGCTATCAGAATATAATTATATTTTAACTCTGAAATTTTAAATTTCTGAATTTAATAGTTTTGGCAATATTTAATTTTTTAAAATGTCATTAAACATTTTAACAATATAAACATATAAGTTGTAGTCAAGAAAAAAAAATTAGAGCTACTGGTATCAGCTACTGGTTTTATCTGAGAGACTGTATCTATGCAACATTAAGTGCTGTTTCCCTTGGCTCTAAAAGTATTTCTTTAGCCTGGTATTCATCTCACCCTTAAAATATCAAGGCAATGTTAAGCACACTCTGTGCCTCTTCCTTTCCTTAAGCTTGGGCTGAAATTACTCTCCTCAAAGAATTGAAATAGGATAGCCGTTGACTAAACCAGTTTAATCCCACAAGCTACTTCAAACCCTTACTATATTTCAAACCATTTCTGTTCTTTTGCAAATATTATCTTCTCATTAAATTAAATGCCTTTATGGTTACTTAAGCAACAACAGAATATATTAAAATGTAAACTATATTTTGTAAATCAATGATGAGAATGTTGAATATTTTTTCAGGGATAGGTTAAAAAGTACCAAAGGTAGTCAGATTTTTATGTGACTCTACGCTTGCCTTACTTCTTCTAAGCAGAAGCTATATTCATTTTCAGTTATCTTATATCAATAATTAAGCTACTTATACAAGCCTGGGAAATTTAGTCATTTCTCCTCTTATACTTTTTTACATGGAAGAAAACTTTAAAGAGAGGCTAAATGTTTAAATAATATATGTCTCTCACTGTACATATTTACTAAAATGACTAAATTTATTCTATTAAATTCCTACTATTTATGCAGTACAAGTATTTCATCTGTTAGTGCACAGTTTTCCTATCAATTATCACTCTTATAATATTTAAAGATCCTGCCCCAAGATGTAAATCTGTGAACAAGAGGGGTCACTTGATAAAAAAGTTTACTCTAAAGAATTCCTAACCACTGACCAATACTGAAAATGACTTAATAAACAATGCATAGCATCCCTCTGTGCAAACAATTTTTATTGTTTCTGATTACATCCAGTTCCATATTACTGTTTTCAGCTGCCACACTCTCCTGCAAAACCCTCTTCATATCCTACACCACAAAGACTAAGCCAGAATAATGAAAATGACAATACTAGCCACCATAATTTGAGTACTAATTCAAGACTGTCATGCTAACCTCCCTATATATACTTATCCTATTTTATCTTTCATTTTATAACCCTATTGAGTTAATAATATCCCTATTTTTATATTAAAAAATCTGGCATAAAAGCAGTCATGGAATTTATTTAAGGATAATTAGCCATCAAATAACAAAGACAAAACCTGGATTTCAACTCATGTCTCTTATTCAAAAGACTAGGACTCACATTTTTCCCTAACAATTTTGCAAGCTAGCACATCTCACACATGTGTCAGAAATTTTTATTTTTTTTAAGCTAAAGACACAGTAGTCTTGGATATTTATGGAAGTAGAATTGGCATATAAGTGTCTCACATAGCATAGTCTGGGTCTTTGTGGAAATTTCATAATCCCATGCAAGTACTACAACAGCCTTCCATTAATACTCTGACATTATGTCCTGACAAAAATCTATATTCAAGATTAGTTGCAGGAGGTAATCTTCACACAGATCTCCTTCATAATATTGAACCTGTGTTTGAGTCTTCAAGAGTGAGCTGTGATTTAATACTAACATACTGATGATCTACAGTGCTTATACCATACCTCATGATGTCAAAGATAGGGACAAAGTCACGAAATATTACAATGTGTACCAGGTCAGAATACTCAACTACTAAACTACAATACAGAAAGTTGATAGGCAGTACTGTTCAATAAGGTGCTACATAATCACTGCAGATGTCACTATACTATGTAACAAAATAAGTAGAACTATCATTGAAGGTATAAGAGCAACATAATTTTTTTTCTAGAAAAGTAGACAATTCACTGTTATTTAAGTGAAGCCTAAACTCAAGTATTAAACTCACGGTGGCTTTACTGGATTATTAAGGGACAAGTAACATTAAAAATATTTTAGAAATCAATAACCTAGTGGTGAAACTTCCAAAAGTTGAGTTATGCCTGAGTATTTACACTGAATTGGACCAAGAACTCATCACTCAGCAGGGAAAAGCTTCTTTGGTGAAGCCACACTGATCCCTGGATCTATGATGTCTCACAAAAAGAACTTTTAGTAGGAAGCTAATACAATATTAGATAGGTGTATTAAAATATCTCAATGGGGAAATGCCACTGTGGGTAAGCTATTATTATAGGGATGTAAAGCCACTTAATCACTGATAAACATCTCTACCTAAAGCAAATTTATTGTTTAAAAAAATAGCTTATACTGTACCATTTACTTTTCTATGCCATGAGCTTGCTTAAGAGGTTGATTTTACCTTTTGCTGAAGCTGTGTATTTTCTAATCTGTTTAGGGCAGCTGTCAAGTAATCAGAGTAAGCAGTGCCATTTTAATAAGGAAGTCTTTTAATGAAATATAATAGGTCACAAATACCTAATTTCTGCTCTTTACTGTAATTGCCAGTCTTACTATAACTGCCACTTTAACAATCTTTTCCAAATGCTGACACAAAAGATGAACAAATGAAGGGTATTACCATGTGTGTATATTTACAGCTTATTGCTGTCAGAGACTGTAGTTCCACTCCCAGCTCAGCAGCTATATGAGGATCTGTTTCTTTTGATGGAAGCATCCAGTTTCATTCCTGTTGTGAATGTATCTGAATTAATCTCCTTTTCATAGCTACACTAATACATACTAAAGGCTACAAAGGAGCAATGTTGACAAAGTTTCAGCACAATATTACACCTTAGGAATATCAAAGATACTTTTACTGTCACTGTAAAGGATTATGGATTTTACTACTTTCTTCCTTCCTTCCTCTTTAATAAATTCTCTGCTCCACTAGTTATTAGTTCTTAATTTCCAAAAAAATACTGTTTATATATAGTTCCAATAACCTATTTTCTTAGATAAATTTTAAAAGTTTATGATAATCATCAGTTTTACATGAACAGCTACTTGAATCAAAATCACAAACATAAAATTACAAAACTGCTGCAAAATTAAAGGATCTCAAAAGAGAAAGCGCAGTATTTTTATTTTTAAAAAGCACATTATGATTATTTTGCTACAGTTCAATTTTAAGTATTTGATAAAGTAAACTCTTTAAAAATACTACCTTAGAAACTTTACATAATAATCCTTTTTGTTTTGAGTATACTATTTTTTTTTTACTATCAGCTTTTAAAATTTGGTACTATTATTGCTATTTTAATACCAGAAGTCCTGTGCACAAACAGTAGTAGTTTTGTAAGAAGTCTGTCCATTTTTGAAAGGCTAAGCTTCCCCAAATCAAACTAGCTTACTGTGAAAAGAAAACCATGACAACTGTTTGTACCTCTTGCTTTATTATTACATCCGGCCTGGTCACTCTTAGAAATTCAATCTATTATGGTTGCTAGGAGTCTGTTGCTGTGCAACCTAAAAGGGTATGCTGTGCTTTCAGGCTAAGGAGTGCTAATAAACCTGTAGGCTTCCCTCTATGGGTCTGACCAGTGTGTTTAAAGGGCTTAATACTTTTCAAGAGTGATTGGCCCACAATTCAAGACACATCCTATTAAAAACAAGTCACACTGAGAGATTTCTAACAAAGGGACAAAATGCTAAACATACACAAATATTCAAAATGTATCCTCAGAATCCCTAACTAATTTGGTAAAACAAACAATGAACAGATTATGATCTACATTTCAATTATATCACCTACCACCAAGTTTTTATTTTTATACAGTCCCCTAAAAGGTTATAATAGATATAAATGAACTGAGCAAGTTTCAGGGGAAAAAAAGCAGAACTCAATACCTTCAACTTTTATTTTTAAAAAAACTATCATATAAACTGCAATAAAAGAAAATTAATCAAACCTAAGACCCCATAAATCATGTAGTAAAAACAAAATGCATTCCTCCCAAAACTTATTGAAAAAGTAAAGTAATTCTAAATTTTATTTTATTATAAAAACAGATAATTTTTATTTTTCTTTGTATCCCTTTTGGTCAGTAAT